GTGAGCCGCAGCAGCAGCCGCCCCCTCGGCAGCAACTGCAGCAGCAGCCACTGCAGCAGCAGCAGCTGCAGCAGCAGCAGGAGCTGCTGTACCCTTCAGCCCCGCAGGCAGCAGCAACGGCCCCGCGAATGCACGCGGGGCAGCAGCAGGCGGCGCCTGCTGCGTCGAGTCACCGCAGCAGCAGCAGCAGCAGCAGCCACTGCAGCATCAGCAGCAGCAGCAGCAGACGGTCGCTGGCGATGGACGTGCCGCAGCAACCCGGGCCGCTGCTGCAGCGCTGCCACGGCTCGCTGCTGCAGCAGGAAGCAGCATGGATGGCCCGGGACTTTTATTACGAAAGGCGGTGGCGGCAGCAGCTGCTGCTGCGGCTCAGCAGCAGCGCCACTGCAGCAGCAAGAGTCAAGCGCCTGCGGCAGCAGCAGGAAGACAGGCGCGTTCTTGCTGCTCCCTGGGCAGCAGCAGTTGAGACGCTCTACATAGCGCTCTGTCGGCAAGTGCGTGCTTTGCTGCTGCTGCTGCTGCTGCTGCAGCTGCTGCTGCTGCTGCTTCTGCTGTCGTTGGTGTTGCTGCAGTTGTGGCTCTTCGCGTTGCTACAGCAGTTGCCGGTGCTTCCTTGCTGCTTCTGCTGCTGCAGCTGCTGCTGGTGCCTTGCTGTTGTTGCTGCTGCTTCTGCTGCTGCAGTTGCGGCAGCTGTTAGGGCCTCGCTGCTGCTGTTGCTGTTGCTGCGTTGACCACGTTGCAGCCGCTGCCGCTTTTGACCACAGCTTAGCTGCAACTGTTGCCGCTGCTGCTGCTGCTGCTGCTGCTGCTGCTGCAGGTGTATAGGGACCTCGTGCCAGCAGAATTGGCTTCCATTGCAGCAATTACTCCCCCCATAGGCAACTGTCCCGCCCTTGGGGTGTACAGACAGCTGGTGGAGCAGCAGCAGAAGCAGCAGCAGCAGGCAGAGTTTGAGGAGGACGAGTTGCTGCCTCCGTTTCTGCAGCAGCAGCTGCCACTGCAGCAGCAGCTGG